GCAGGCCCCCTAAATCACCCCAAGATGCTCCAAGAGGCACCCCAAGAGAGTCCCAAGAAACTAAAATCCTTCCATTCCTATGGGGAAACGTATATTTTTCGCATGCTCGCCTCTTGGGCTGTCACCGCGTCCAAGACGGCCTAAGAGGCCCCCCAAAACGGCCTAGGAGGCCCCCAAGAAATCTCCAAGACGGCCTACGACGAACGCAGGACGGCCCAATCGGCCCCCAAGACGGCCCAAGAGAAGCCCAAGAAGCGCCCGAGAGGGGTCCCAGAAGAAGACAGCCACTTTCGATTTCCGAGCTTTCGGTCCCAAGAGCCCCCAGGAGGAGCAGAGTTTTCAAGCATTATACAAGCACGTCAGGGGGTCAACGTTCTCTGTGTTTCGAGAGGGCAAGGTTCTCGATACGTTTTTCCCTGCCGCATGCCACACCTGGAGCGCGCCGCCGCGGCTGGCGAGTTAGAGGCACCGATCGCATATGTTGGTTTTTGCAGCCAATATCATCAGATGTTCGGGGGGCAGGACCTGGATTCAACTTTCCAGCCCGACTTGGCAGTTTTTGTAGTGAGGTGTCCATGTTTTGCGACGGTGATCGTGCCTTCCCCTTTTGCAGACTCTGCCACGCCAGCCAATGCGACCAGCATTGCAGACGGGTCTGTCCATCGATGCTAGGTGAGATAATCCATGTATGGCGTTTGCAGGCCAGACGGTTAGCGTCTGTGGCCGCGCCTTGAAAATGCAGCTTTCGCTTAGAACTTCCTCCCCAAAACGAGCTCGTCTGGATTTCGAAACCCTCGGCCTCGATTTCGAAATGTGGCTTTCGCATAGGACTTCCTCCCCAAAACAAGCTCGACTGGATTTCGAAACCCGCGGGCTCGATTTCGAAAGGGCGGTGCCGCCCGAGACTGGAGCGAAAAATGCTTCAACCGAACATTGTACTGGGGCGCCGCGGCCGAACGGGCCCACTGCCAACGTTGTACTGGGGCCCCGTCGCCTAACGGGAGGCGTTAAATTTTGGCCGAACTTTCGTAGCGGCGAAGTATCCCCCATGGGCGCCCCCCGGAACCTTTGGGGGTCCAGAGGGCCTTGAAGAGGCAAAAACCCGCCGATTCCTTGTGTAAGACGTAAATTTTCAGCATGCTCGCTGGCTTCGTCTTCACAGTGCCCCAGAGAGACCCAAGAGGGCCCCAGACGGTCCCAAAAGCGTCGGCCTGTGGGGCTCACGGAACCCCGCGGGACGGCCCAAGAAGCGCCAAAACGGCCCAGGAGGCCCCAAGGACGCCCTCAGGGAGAGGCCTAAGAGGGCCTCGTTCGAAATCATGTTCCCGGAAGCCTCTCCAGGAACACGATTTCCGCGGTGCGGGCCTCTGTGCCAAATGTATCATCCGCGTTGTATTGCAAGAGAGCCTCTCCCGGCCCATCAAGCCTCTCCCGGATCATGTTCCCCGAAGCCTCTCCCGGAACATGACCTCCCGGCTCCCAGGACGCCCAAGAGGCCCATAAGACAGCCTCAGCGAGGCCCAAGAGGGCCCGAGATGGCTTGAAGATGGCCGAAGAGGGCCCCAAGAGAGCCTTCAAGAGGCACACATCGGCCCATACCCTACGTAAAACATAAATTTTCAGCATGCTCGCTTGCTTCGTCTTCAGAGTGCCCCAGACGCCCCCGCGGAGCCCCAAGACAGCCCAAGAGAGACCCAAGAGGTCCCAAGGCCCAAAAATATCGTCCCGTGGGGCTCGCAGAACCCCCCAAGACGGCCCAAGAGGCCCCGAAGCCTGCCCAGGAGGCCCCCAAGACGGCCTCAGGGAGGCCCAAGAGGGCCTCGTTCGAAACCATGTTCCCGGAAGCCTCTCCAGGAACATGACCTCCGGATTCCCAGGACGCCCAAGAGGCCCACAAGACAGCCTCCGCGAGGCCCAAGAGGGCCCGAGATGGCTTGAAGATCGCCGAAGAGGGCCCCAAGAGGGCCTTCAAAAGGCAAACATCAGCCAGCTCCCTAAGTAAAACTTACGTTTTCAGCATACTCGCTTGCTTCGTCTTCACAGTGCCCCAGACGCCCCCGAGGAGCCCCAAGACAGCTAGAGAGAGACCCAAGAGGGCCCAAGAGGGCCCGAAAGGGTCGTCCTGTGGGGCTAACGGAACCTCCCAAGACGGCCCAAGAGGCCCCAAAGCCGGCCCAGGAGGTCCCCAAGATGGCCTCAGGGAGGCCCAAGAGAGCCTCGTTCGAAATCATGTTCCCTGAAGCCTCTCCGGGAACATGATTTCCGGATTCCCAGGACGCCACAAGACAGCCCCCAGAGGCCCCGGACACGCCGAAGATGGCCTCACCCCGGCCGACGACGCCGCCAAAACGCCCCACGTGCGCCTCCAGAGGCCCCTCCAAAAGGCCCCAGAAGCTGAAAGTTACAAATGTTCCCATGGCTTTTGAAGCATTCTTGCGCTCTCCCATGTCTCCCCAAGGTCCCGGACCGCGTCAGAGGCCCTTCAGATCGCTCCAAGACGGCCGCAGAGGCTCCCAAGACAGCCCAGAGACGGCCCAGGAGGCTCCCCAGATAAGTCAAGAGGGCCTCGAGAGCGCCCCAAGAGCGACCCAAAGGGCCCGAAGAGCGCGACATTTCAAGGTCTCCGGCCTGAGAGGCTCTTAGGACGCCCCCGGAGGCCATCAAGAGGCTCCCAAGAAGCCCCGTGAAGCTCCCAAGAGGCCCCCCGGAAGCCATAATAGGCCCCCAAGGGGCCCCCAGGGAAGCCCCCTGCGGGCCCCCAAGACATTTCGGTAAATCGGATTTCCCAGATAGCTCCAGGAACATGATTCCTTCTGCTTCCGCCCACCGCCCCGACCATGTTTCCAACAGGCTTGCCGACAAGGCCAAAAGGGGCCCCTGGTTAAGCCCCCAGAGGCCCCCCTCTTAAAGAGCCGAACAAACCATGCTCCCGGAAAGCTTCCCGGGAGCATGATTCTCTATCTCGGAGTAGGCCCAGGGGGGGGGCAGGCCGCTGCCTGTTCCTCCCAGCGGTGCCCACCGGGGGTTGCGGGGGGGGGTCCAGAGCTCCCGAGGCGGCCGAGCCCGCGCCGAAGCAGGCCACGACAGGCTAAGGGGGTCCCGAGAGGGCCCTAGACGGTCCAGAGAGGCCCCGAAGACATCCAAGATGCCCTCAAGACAGCCGGCGAGGACTCCAACACGCTCTAGGATGGACTCAAGAGGCTCCCCAAGAGGGCCCTGGAAGGCAAGATTCACTCGTTTCCGAGTGTTTTGGATTTTGGCGTTCTCGCTTTTTCCGCTTTCCAGCGCTCCCTTCACGGCCTCGGAGACCCTTCAGATCGCTCCAAGAAGGCCCACGAGGCCCCGACGAGGGCCCCAAGACAGCCCAGGATGCTCCCCAGACAACCCAAGTGTGCCCCAAGAGCGCGCCAAGAGAAGGCCCAGAGGGGTCCCGAGGCGGCCCGCCCCGAATCAGGCCACGACAGGCTGATGGAGGTCCCGAGAGGATCCTAGACGGTCCCAAGAGGCTCCGAAGATGCCCAAGCTGCCCTCAAGACGGCCGACGAGGACTCCAACACGCTCCAGGACGGACTCAAGAGGCTCCGCAAGAGGGCCCAGGGAGACAAGATTCACTAATTTTCCAATGGTTTTTGAAGGACTTAGGCGTTCTCGCTTTCCCCGTTTCCCAGCGCTCCCTCACGGCCTCGCTCGGAGGCCTTTCAGATCGCTCCAAGACGAGCCACGAGGACCCGAAGAGGGCCCCAAGACGGCTCAGGAGGCTCCCCAGACAACCCAACTGTGCCCCAAGGGCTCCCCAAGAGAGGGCCCAGAGGGGACCGCCAACCGATATCTCGAGGTCTCTGGCCCTAGAGGCCGCCTGTAGGCCCCTGGAGGCCACCAAGAGGCTCCCACGAAGCCCCGTGAGGCGCCCAAGAGGCCGCCAGGAAGCCCCAAGAGACCCCCAAGGGACTCCCAGGGAACGCCCAAGAGGCCCCCCAATACACCCCAAGAAATCATGTCCCTAGAAAACCTTCCGGGGACATGGTTCATCATGGGCCCGAGAGTTCCCGGAGGCCTCCCAAGGGGCCCCCAGGGAACGCCCAAGAGACCCCCCAAAACACCCCAACAAACCATGTCTCAAGAAATATGGGCCCGCGAGTCTCCGGAGGTTTCGAAGTACCATCATGCTACAGGAGAGCTGTCTGGGAAGTTGATTGGGAACATGACTGATCGCCTTCTCGCGGCCCTCCGCAGATCGTTTCGCACAGAGTTGCCCCGAGCGCCATCTTGAAGCGACGACGACGACGAAACGACGAAGACGACGACAACATTACGACGACGACGACGACGACGACGACGACGACGACGACGACGACGACGACGGCACGCCCCAACAGGCTCCCCAAGACGCCCCAAAACCCATGCTCCCAGAAGCCTTCTGGGAGCCCGATTCAAACGGCCTCCGCCCCCCTACACAACCATTTTCCTCGAAGGCCTTTCGGAAAGCAGATTGGCAAGCGTGTACCGTGGTCCACTACTTCAGTGGAGCAGTGACTTCGTCAAGGCCTGGGGCCTGCTAGAACCTGAGCGCGCGCGAAGCGCGCGCGATGGTTCTAGTGGATATATATATATATATATATAGGGAATCCATTTATTGAGTGTATTTATTTGTGGGTCCCTGGGCCCCTTGATCCTGGCCGGGCCAGGAGAGCGTGCGCCCCGGAGCCTGGCCGGGAGCCTCCGCCTGGCTCTGTGGACCAGCGAGCGGCGTGCAAGTGGCGAGGTTTCGCGCGCGCGCGCGCGGGCGCGGCGGCCGCCGGCCGTGCTCGCCGCCGCTCCATCGGATGCGGGGCGCTCGCGGCCACCTCCTCCGTCGCCGTCGCCGTCGCCGTCGCCGTTGTCGTCGCCGTCGCCGTCGTCGTGGTCGTGGTCGTGGTCGTCGTGGTCTTGGTCGTGGTCGTCGGCGTGCGGCGTCGGCGTCGGCGTCGGCGTGCGGCGTCGGCGTCCGTCGCGTGGGCCAGGACCTCGCCAGGCTCGCTTCGGCGCAGCCCCACACAGCCGAGGGCGGCCTGGCCGTGCGGATCGAGCTGACGGCCAGCTCCATCGAGCGGTGGCCGCACGCGGACGTGCCGCTCGAGGCTGCCAGGGATGGCTCCCAGTCGAGGCCGCAGAGCACTGGTTGCAGCCAGCAGAAGGAGGATAAGCGAGCCTCTCCTCTCCACGGCTGGACGCGGTTCGATCTCTGGAGGGCCCAGGGATTGATTTTCAGAGGATTGGTTTTCGTCGCCTCATCGTGACCGATTTTCCCGGGGCCCACTCATCGCAGACCGCCTGGCCGCTTCCAAGCTCAATGTCACCATTCTGTGATCCCCTGCTGTGGGTGCACAGTCAACGCGCGTGCTAGCTATCCAGAGAGCGTTTATGCATGTCCACCGCGGTGGGAACCGGACATCAAGAGGCTATGGGCCCCATGTGGAGACCGAGCATTTCCATATCAAGTGTTTCCTGGCGTTCTGCGGTATCGGTTTCACACGTGCATAGACTCTGTCTCTGGAGTACAGCCCACGCGCATGCTAAGGATGAGTCACTTTCCCAAGGTACGTTTGCACCCTTGCCTCTTCGGCCCATCCCTAGCCGATTTCGCAGGCCGGCTCGTTGTGGCACCCTTGGGTGTCGGCACCCGTTCGGCAAGGATGGGGGCCTGTTATCAGGGGCAACGATCGGGGGGGACAGGCACAGGGGGGGATGCATCGACCCTCAATTGCCCATTGATCGACGATATGTGCCCGACAGCCGCAACTTGCCCAGGAACTTGCGAATTCACTATCGGGTGCTTACCGCCGATCTATCATCGATGTATCGCCGATTCCAGGTCGATGTTTCCCCCCTATCCCAGTCCCCCCTATCGCTGCCCCTCATCTTAGGGCACGATTGCCCCCCTCGATTTGACTTCTGAGGGGCTTGTATCGAAGACGCCTACGGCGAATCACCGCCGCTCTCTGCCTTTTGGAAGCGCCTATGTGGCCAAACGTCGTGGCCAGAGCTTGGCAACGCTATCGGATCATGCGTTCCCCCAGCAGTTGTGGAAAAAGAAGAGGAGGATGAGGAGGAGAGATCCTCTTCGGGCTTTCCTGAAGGTTCTCGGAGGACTCTTAGGGCCTTTCGGGCCGTCTCGGGTCTTCTTAGGGCCATCCTGGGCCGTCCTGGATGCATCTTGGGTCGTCTTGGAGACATCTTGAGGGCATCCTGGTTTCTCTTGGGGCCATCGTAGCCGTCTGTCTAGTGCGGGAAGACCCGTGGTCTGCGAAGTTCGCGGGTCCTTTATGAGGCGATCTTTTGGGGGGCTCATGGAGGGTGCAATTTATGCGGCTCTCTGAATAGCCGGCGCGATCGGCCGAAGCTCCACTGGAAACTTTTCCAAAGGGACACAGTACCGAAAGATACGCACGCCGTGCACCCCTATGGCAAGCCACCGGGGGTGAGATGACGGAGAGAGCGAAGTACGACCCAAAGAAGTTGAGTTGGGGGCGAAGGCCTCTAAGGAGGGGTCCGGGGGGAGGGGCGAGGCGAGGCTCGTGGGGCGTTTGCCTTCTGTATTTCGGAGTGAAGCGGCTCGCGGGCGCCTTCCATGCCGAGCATTTTCTGTGGGTGGAGGGCAAAGGGTGAAATCTGGAATGCCGTCTCGATTGGTTTACGAAGCTTGAATCTGCAAGGGGTGCATCACAAGGCGGATCGATTTTCGAGGTGCGAGAGCCCATGAGGATTTCACCCTGAGCCCTCCACCTTAAGCAAATGCTCAGCCATGGCCCGTTTCCTCGGAATTTTCCGGGTGAAGCGGCTCGAGGGCCTCAAGACGTCCGAAGAGGGCCCCAAAACGGCCCGAAGGCAGCTCCAAGAGAGCTTCCTGTGGCCTCCAGACGGTCCAGGAGAGCCTCGAGACGGCCCCAGAGGCCCCCCAAAGGGGCCGAAAACTGTCCAAGAGGCCCCCCCGACGGCCCCAGAGGGCTCCCAAACAGCTCAAGAGGGCTCCCATTCCCAAGAGGGCCCGAAGGGGGGTTGTGGGGATTGGGCTGCTTGGGTGTGGGGACTGGGCTGGCCCCAAGACGGCCCAAGAGCACAACAGCTGCCCTCAAGAGGGCCCCCGAGAGGCCTTCAGGAGGTGAACAACATTGTTATTCTAAAGGTTTTCCAATGTTTTTGATGGGTTCTTGCCTTTTCGGGCCCAGAAGGGTCTCAGACGGCCCAAGCGGGCCCAAAGATCGTCCCGAGATGGCGCCAGAGGCCCCAAAAGAACCGACAACGCTCCAAGAGAGTCCCCAGACGGCCCCAGAGGGCCCCAAATAGCCCAAGAGGGCCCCGAGACTCCTCCAACAGCCCCAAGAGGCTCCCAAGAGGGCTCGAAGAGGCGGTGTAGGGACTGGGCTGCTTGGGTGTGGGGTCTGGGCTGGCCCTAAGCCGGTCCAAACAGTCCCAAAACTATCCAAAAGGGCCACCAAACAACACCCAAGAAGCCCGAGAGACGCCAAGGAACACAGCGAGCGCTGAACGCAACAAGCTCTGAACACCAAGGCTCCCCAGAGCGCGGTGACGCAAAGAGCTCTGAACAGCAAGGCTCCCAAGAGCGAGCTGCAACGCACAAGTCTCTGAACACCAGGGCTCCCAACGGAGAGCGGTAACTCAACAAGCTCTGAACGTCAAGGCTTCCAAGAGCGAAGGTTGCCATGAGCCCTGTCGAGCAAGTTCCTGCAGCGCTCTTCCTTTTCCGTGCTGGCCCAGGTAACGGAAAGAGTGAGGTACGAGTGATGACGTTTTGTTTGGGTGAAGCCCTCTAGGGAGGGGTCCAGGGGAGGGGGAAGGGGTGGAAGGATGCGGTCTAATGGCCATTTTCGGGTTTCCCTATGGTTTTTTGTATGCTTTTCCTTTTCCGTCCCAGAAGGGCCCCAGGCGGCCCAAGAGGCCCCAAAGATCGGCCAACGAGGCTTCCGAGACGCCCCGAGAGGCGCCCAAGAGGCGCCCCAAGAGGCCCCCAAGATGCCAAAATCATTGATTCCCTCCGGGAACTTACATTTTTCGCATATGCGGCTTTTCGGCTTTCACTTCGTTGGCGACAGCCCAAGAGGCCCCCAAGATCGTCCCAAGCAACCCAAGAGGCTCCCAAGAGGCCCCCAAAACGGCCCAAGAGGGCCCCAACACGGCCCGAGAGGCGCCCAAACACGGCCCAAGAGGGCCCCAAGGCGGCCCCAAGAGGGGGACCACGAATTGAAAAGTCTAGCCTTTCGCACCAAGACGCTCCCAGGAGGCCCCAAGAGCCCCGCAAGAAGCCCCAAGAGGTGCCCTAGGGGCGTCCCAAGAGGCGTCCCAAGAGGCCAACATCATGGAATTCCTGTCGGCAAACGTACGTTTTTAGCATACACGGCTTTTCGGCTTTCACGGCGTTGAAGACGGTCCACGAGGCCCCCAAGACCGCCCCAAGACGGCCCAAGAAGCTCCCAAGAGGCCCCCAAAACGGCCCAAGAGGGCCCCAAGACGGCCCCAGAGGCGCCCACGACGGCCCAAGAGGGCCCCAAGACGGCCCCAAGAGGGGGACCACGAACCGACAAGTCTAGCCTTTCGCCCCAAGAAGCCCCAAGGAGCCCCAAGAGGCCCCCAAAAAGGCTCCAAAAAGGCTCCAAAAAGGGCTCCAAAAGGGCCCCAATTGGACTCCCAAGAAGGCCCAGAGACGCCAAATAAAGAGCGATCGGTAACGCAACAAGCTCTTCACACCAAGGCTCCCATGAGCGAACAGTGACGTAAACAAGCTGACAAGACCAAGGCTTCCAGCAGAGAGCGGTGACGTACCAAGTTCCTGACACCAAGGCCCAGCCAAGGCTCAGGAACGGGCGGCAACGCAACAATCTCTGAACACCAAGGCTCCCAAGAGCGAGGGGTGAGGTAACAAGCTCTCAGCGCCAAGGCTCCCAGTACGAACGGTGGTGTGAGTAGTTTCAGTTTCTGTTTCCGAAGCGCTCTTTCCATTTCTGTGCCGGCCCAGGTAACGGAAAGAGCGAGGAACGAGTGATGACGTTTTGGTGCGGGCGAAGCCCTAAAGGGAGGGGTTCCAGGGGAGGGGGGTAGGCCAGGGGAATGGCAGTTTTCGGGATGTCTTTTTGGTTTTTGCATGGTTTTCGGGTTCCCCCCCAAGACGGCCCAAGAGCGCTCCAAGAGAGCCCAAGACCGCCCAAGACGGCCCAAGAGCCTCCCACGAGGCCCCAAAGAGGTGCCCTAGGGGCGTCCCAAGAGGGTCCCAAGAGGCCAACATCTTCGATTTCCCATGGGGCAAGTACATTTTTAGCATACACAGCTGTTCGGCTTCCACGGCGTGGACGACGGCCCAGAGAGGCCCCCAAGACCGCCCCAAGATGGCCCAAGAGGCTCCCAAGAGGGCCCCAAGACAACCCAAGAGGGCCCCAAGACGGCCCAAGAGGCGCCTCAAGACGGCCCAAGAGGGCCCCAAGACGGCCCCAAGAGGGGGACCACGAACCGAAAAGTCTAGCCTTTCGCCCAAAGATGCTCCCAAGAGGCCCCCAGAGTCCCCCGAGAAGCCCCAAGAGGCCCCCAAGAGGTTCCCAAGAGGCTTCCAAAAGGGCTCCAAAAGGGCCCCAATTGGACACCCAAGAAGGCCCAGAGACGCCAAATAAAGAGCGATCGGTAACGCAACAAGCTCTTCACACCAAGGCTCCCAAGAGCGAGCGGTGACGTAAATTATCCCGGCAAAGCAACCTAACATCGATATGTAGAATCATAGCTGGAGGCATGCAGCAGCAGTAACAGTCACAGTAGTAGTAGCAATAAGAGCAGGAGAGATGAAACAGTGGTAACAGTGAAGTAGTAGTTGTAGTTGGCGGGAGTGAACGAGTGAAGTGTAGTAGTAGTAGTAGTGGGTGTAGTGGTACCAGCGAAGTGAAGTATAGTTGGAGTGGGTGGATGGCAGTAGTAGTAACAGTGAAGTACGGCGGATGTCTTGGATAGTAGACACTGCTATCAACGCTGCTATCAACGCTGGAAGTGTGTCAAAACGAGACACTGCTATCAATAGTGGGAGTCGTGTAAAAACGAGACACTGCTATCAACGCTGGCAATGAATGATGATGATGAGTGC